ATCAACTCCCAAGTGGCAGCTGGTGGTGAAGAGTGGTTACAGAGGGACTGCACGCATTCACCAATAGGAGCCAGCTAAACAGTCTAATTGAGAGTTTCCCATTAGATAGTCTTCGGCATAGTAGTTGCTTAGTTCGACTCGGGGGTAACAATTCTTAGAACAAAGCTTGTTGCCTTTCAGGTCTTTGTTATGTCGGCAAAGGGGGGCAATACAATTTAGGACCTCTATCTGAAGTGACAAGAAGGCATAGGTCAAGTCAGTATAATTTAGTATAGATTTAGCAGACCCCAGATTAGGTATTTCTGGGCACCTTGGCTTGACGCCGGAATTTCTCTTGCTCCCTGGGGATTAGCCAGTCTAGGTTGAGGAGTTGAAGAGAAGTCGGCCGTTGACAAAGCTCATTTGATGAACAAGCAGGGAGAATCCTGGCGCGTTTCAGGTCATTCTGGTGGAGCTTATGTAGTCCTCAACAGTCAAGAGAAAGGTAGAAGCCACGCGAGATGCTCTATAAAAGCCCAGATCAATCCACCGGTGTTCGACCTCTTACTAGGAGTTGGTGGCGCAACCAAAAACACGCAATTTATGAGTGATATTCGGATACCGCTTGGAGGCTCAACGGAGGGAAACGAAAACAAAAAGGTCTTTGGGTGAAGGCAAGGATACACTGTTTGTTTCTCTGACCCCAGTTCAAGTTCCTCCAGGGTTGAAACACCCGCTCCGTTTCGCGGCCACAAGTAATAGTACAAGGATCAGCCTGAGGTTTCCTGTGTTGCTCAGAACAGCCTACCTGTACTACGGATTGCAGGTTGACAAATTGTGAACGTTGCTGTTCAGAATGAGGTGGCAACAACATATAGATGACTATCGAATTCTCATCAAGTGAACTAACCGTCAATAGTCATAGTCGTTGATCGCCCAAGACCATCTCGATCATCCAGATTAAGCCCATGGCTCTGCCCCTGCAACGCCAGTTAGATCCCTGCTGTTTCAGACCAGGTCACGATCTGCAGGCACTTTAGGGTGCGACCCTGTAATCTCCAAGATCTGGCGGGCCGGTCCTCATTGTTCTGAACCTTTTCTGTTCTTTGTGCGTAGAAAATGAGGAGTGACGGTTGTGCAGCTTGATCGCGACTGTGGTTCTAGCGCATGATCATTTGAAGCAAACATCTTCAGGATCAATGTATCACAGCAGATGAGGCCGGACTGCAGAAATACGGACTGCAGCTCATCAATTCCACCACCACCAATCAAACATGACTGCGGCGAATCCAGGTCACACCGACCGCCAGCGCATATCTGTTGTACACTGCTTGCAGTCGTTACCGCCTATCTTAGGACCTTGCCTTACCTCTAGGTACCTACCTATGAAGACATTCACTTAGTGAGGTGTTTTTTCCTATTATAGGGGCAGGCTGTGATTCATGGTCCCTGTTAATTTCCCCTGTCCATCGTCCACTAACCCGGGCGCCAGCCGCCATGAATGAGATTTTTCGATGCAGGTACACATATTTATAGGTTACAATATAGATCCTGCCCAGCCCTATGAAGAACGAGAAGGCATATCCAATGATATTTCTGGACATTAGCGCTCGTTGCCGATACAGCTCTTGTCTGTTTCATCTGACTTGACTCCTATCACGACAAAGTCGAGCCCAGAAATCAAGGTTTCATGCATTAATTTACACATGGCCCCCAGATGTGGCTTGAGCCGCTGTAGCCAATCCTCTTTCACCATCTTGCTACACTAGAAAGTTCCGAAAACGCCTGGCGGCTTGGGCAACCCCTGAATTAGGCCCGGCCGTTAGTTAAAACGGGGGAATAGTAGCTCGCCACGCCCATAGGCTCCATCACCATAATCCTTTGATCAAATAGACAGCCTCAGTGACGGGAAAGCCAAGAAAACAATGATGGACGTGCACGCGCTTAGAGCATATCAAAGTGGCCGCAGTGACAAGGCCAGTGCAGTGCTGACTATAGCATACGCTGTGCGCCAGTGCAGTGTTGGCAGCTGCGGCGAATGAATGAACGGATGGATCCTAAAGGATTCAGCCCAGGTCGGCCCCCGTTCACACAAAGACCTTCACCTCTGATCCTCGTCCAACAAACTTCTTTCTCTTCATCCTTCCACACGCTCTTTTTCTTATTTATCTTATTTTTCCCTCGTACACTGCACTGCTGGGCACGTCCTCTCATTTCTCTACTCACTCACTCATTCATTCTTCGGAGCAGCTTCAGACCTTTCTTTTCTCTGAACTGCTTGTTACCCTCTTTTCACTGTGTCAACCACCACGATCTATCCATCGTCTCTGATTCACTTGCACTCAACATAGTGACTGGACGGTTGCGAAACATTCTTTCTTCTCACAGGTGCTCCGGTATCACCTTCGTGCCCCCCCGCTTTACACTTGTCTGCTTCCTCTTGAAGAAGAAGCAGGTTTCATTCTCAGCGCCCAGAATCCCAGAGATCTCAACGCTAGCATTTACATCTTTTCCCACTCCGCCGTCGAAAATCCTTCCGTGCGGTTAAACCATTTAGCTCGATACTTTTAAACACCATTTGTCATTGTCAATCATCATGAAGTCCGCTTTCGCTACCGCCACTGCGGTCCTCGCCGGCGCCGCTTCTGCTGCTCACGAGACGGGTACCTTCGCCGTCTTGCGCTTCACCAACGATCAGCTCACTAGAGGTCGTATGGATCCCATCCTTTTCCCTGGCCAGACCTCCACTCATGTCCACCACATCATGGGCGGCAGTGGCTTCAGCACCAAGGCGACCGGAAAGGATCTCCAGAAGTCAAAGTGCAGCAATGCGCTTGTCAAGGGCGACAACAGTAACTACTGGTTTCCCACTCTTTACTTCCATGACCCCGAATCTGGAGAGTTTGAAGATGTCGAGTTCGACTACTTCAATGCCTACTACTTGTAAGAGCACTGCCTTGTCTCATTGCGCCACTCGAGCCCTTCACTTCCCCAATTATCGTATTGTCTTGCGCATATTACTGACAAGGAACAGCTTCGAGAAGACACACGATGATATCAAGCCTTTCCCTGTTGGTCTCCAGATCGTTGCTGGTGATGCTATGACCCGTACCATGCCCAAGGCTGGCAGCAAGCCCAACCTTGACCCTTCAAAGGGTCCCGTCAATCCTGCCAGAATGACTTGCCCCCGCCTGAACAACGATTACACGCTCCCATCTTGGGATGCCAAGTCTGATGGCAAGATGGCTGGTGTAGGTGATCCTGTCAACAAGGGTGAAGGTGTCGGGTTCCCTGATCGAACTTGTGATGGCAAATATTCTCCCCTCCGAGCTGATGTCCATTTCCCCTCATGTTATAACCCCGAGGCTGGCCTCACCGACTTCAAGAACAACATGGCCTACCCCGAGGACAATGACGGTTATCTCGACTGCCCCAAGGGTTGGATTCATGTTCCTCACCTTTTCTACGAGGCTTACTGGCGCACCGACAAATTTACTGGCCGCTGGACTGAGGGTGAGGGCAAGCAGCCCTTCGTCTTCTCCAATGGCGACGTTACTGGATACAGCAGCCATGCCGACTTCATGGCCGGTTGGGATGAAGACCTCCTCCAGCATATCATTGACACCTGTAACGCTGGTACCGAGGGTATGGACCACTGCCCAGGCCTGACTTATGGCCTCAACAAAGGCGACTGCACCATTGAGTCCGAGGTCGACGAAAAGATTACTGGCACTTTGAGCAAACTTCCTGGAAACAACCCCTTGAGTGGATTTTCTTATGGCGATAAGGTCCCTTCAATGCCCTCCGGCGGCGACAGTGAGACTAGCCCCAGCAAGCCCTCTGCCCAACCCTCTGCCCAACCCTCTGCCCAACCTTCTGCCAGCAAGCCGGCTTCTGGGGAGAAGACCACTGCCGCTGACCTCCCCGGCTACACCAAGCCAGCTTCTGGTTCCACTGATGTCCACGAGGAACCAGTTGTTCCTAAGCCTACTCTACCTTCCAATCCTTCAGTTGTGTCTGGGGCGGCTGCTCAAGCAACCGATGTTCTCTCCAGTGCCCCCAAGCCAACCGACATCTTTGACAAGCCCGAAAAGCCCAAGAAGTGCAAGACTAGAGTTCATACCGTCTGGAACACCGTGACAATCACACAGACAGCCAGTGTGCCTGTCCAGACCGAGGCTGGCACTCCTAGCTACAAGAGAGATCATGTTCGACGACATGCTCACCACCATGGCAGTGGACATAACCATCTACGCCGCCGTAGCCACCTCCGCCGCTAATACTGCTTACCGGCGAACTGCATCTGCTAATAGCATACTTTGAATGGCAGTCTACGTGGCAGAAAGCTTTTCTCTCATTTCTTGTGATGGTGCATCTACGGAGCATCTTGTATAGGGGTCCAGTGACCACTGCGCTTCCTTGGACCGGAGAATATAAGGTTGGCGATTTCATGGACAGGTATTTTGATTCAAGTTGCGTGGTGCAAGGGAATGGAATTAAGGGGCAGGAAGAAAATTGTTGGATGATTCGCTTCTACACATGTACATTTATGGAGGACATACCTTGCTTGCCAAGGGGCCAAAGCGCTCGAGCGCACATCTTTTGCCCGTCATGAATCCAGGGCATATGCAAAATAAATTCACCCGCAGCACACAAAAGTGATCAAAATGTCCTCGGCATACCACGCCGGTTTCCAATCCTACTAGTGACCATGTTGCTCGAGTGAAGAATCTGTTGTCAGCCTGGGAGTTTGGACTCTGAAGTTAGGAATAGCACGACAGCATCCGTATATCTTCAGTTGTTCTAGGCCAATATTGTGCCAGATTGTGTTTTCACTTCCGTGCAGTCGCATTCCGAAAATCCTTGATGAAAGCACACCAGGCACAGTACCTAGTTACTTACAACTAATGATTCTGCCCGTCGGCTAAAGTTCGGTTAGAAGTTGAACGAACGACCAGCATTTCTCTCTTACATTTTCTTCATCACCACACGACTCTTCGTCCCTCAAGACTATATTGAAAATGTCTCTGTATCATGAGGCAGCAGAGATCTTGGCGGGATCATCATTTGAAGGCGGTAGTCTCAAGTCGCGTGTCTTCAAGAAGAAAACTCTTAAATCCGCACCAAACCAAGTTTACGCCTTGGTGTTAGAGAGTTGCAAATGGAGCCTCATTCTGAAGGAAGTGATTGAGAGATCAGAACTTCTGAAACTCGAGCGCAAGGTTTGCAGCCCGACCCTACGCTAGACTGCAAAACGCCTATGCTAAACATTGCACGCAGCTGACCCCGACGTTGTCATTACTTCTTGTACATGACCTTTTGTTGGCCAAGAAGGGAATTGCTCTTCCACAAGGCCATGGGCTTCGTGCATCAATTGAGAGGCACAAAGGACGCATAAGCTCAGAGTTCAAGCTCGCACGGCTTCGGAGAAAGATACCGACACTCGAGGCTTTGAGAGAGCAAGTTGAAAGGCAATGCGCCGGCGAAGAAGCGAATTACCCTCGCTGGGTTCGTGTCAATGCTGTGAAGAGTACACTCGAAGAGCAGTTGGAGACGACGTTCTCCAAGTACTCTAGAGCCACATCTATCAAGGAGGTCGTCACGAACACTGGAAGACTCATATACATCGACCCACATGTGCCAAACCTTTTGGCCATCACTGCAGGAACAGATCTCACAAAAACCGAGGCGTACACAACGGGCAAAATAATTCTACAAGATAAAGCCTCTTGTTTTCCTGCTTATCTTTTAGATCCCAGAGCAGAGGATGGCGACCTAATCGACGCATGCTCTGCTCCTGGCAATAAGACAACTCACTTGGCAGCGATCCTCAAAGAACACAGACCAGAAACCAGTACGCCAGAGCAGACAATCTATGCATTCGAAAAAGATTCTCGACGAGCACAAACTCTGGAGAAAATGGTCAAGATTGCAGGTTCGAAGCCTGTAACAAAAATTGGATTTGGACAAGACTTCCTACAAGTCGACCCTATGGCAGAGAAGTACAAGTCAGTCGGAGCTTTGCTACTGGATCCAAGTTGCTCAGGGAGTGGAATTGTCGGACGAGATTCCATGCCGGACCTTCACCTGCCAGAAGGTACCAGTAGCACAGGAAAGGGTCCGACATCAAAGCAAAACGGGCGCAAAAGGAAACATGAGCAGACAGAGGCAACTGATGACAGGATCATGATAGATGATGACGGTAACGAGACTGCCATCAAGTCGGAGAAGGATTTAGAAACACGCTTAGAGGCGCTTTCTTCATTTCAACTGACGCTTCTGTTACACGCCTTCAAATTTCCATCAGCAAAACGAATTACATACTCCACATGTTCAATCCACATGCAAGAAAACGAGCGTGTTGTCATGAGAGCTCTCGAATCCGACATTGCGAAGCAACGGGGTTGGCGCATTCTGTTGCGGAAAGATCAGGTTTCTGGGCTGAGAGAATGGCCCGTCCGAGGACTCTCTGAAGCCTGTGGAGGCGATGAAGATATAGCAGAGGCTTGTATTCGCTCTTATAAACATGACGGGCAAGGTGTTATGGGCTTTTTTGTGGCTGGTTTTGTGAGGCCCGATATACAGAATATCGAGACTAGCGGCAACGAAGGTCCTTACCTGCGAGATGATAACGGTGTGATCATCCGTGACATGCTCGGCATGCCAGCCCTGAAAACCACTGGTGAGCATGTCTCTTTAACTGAAAGAGATGATAAGAGTGGCGATAGAAAGGAAGAGGATGAGGATACGGATGAGGAGGAGGAGGAGGATTCAGAAAGCGATAGTACTAGCAGTACTGCGGCACATGATCTCAATGCTCGTCAGATCGCGTTCGACGCAAGCCAAGGAACTTCCACAGACGAAGATGATGAGTGGGGAGGGCTTGACGATTAAACCGGCAGCCCGGAAAGGGTGCAGGGCATTTCTTTCGGCAGATGACAAGACGTCATAACACGGGCCACTGAGATCAAATCCATAACGACAAACGGCTCTCAGCGAATTGAAACTAGGCCTCCTCAATCAAGGACGAAAGAATAGGAGTATAACTTAAAAGACGAAAGACCGCGTGGTATCGGGTGATTCCTACCATCTTACGTGATTAATATGCCTCCACAACTTTTTATCCTGATCGGTAGGCGGTTGTCTGAATGGATCCGAACCCCGTTTACTCTCTGTTTTATACCAAGAGCTTGGTAGGTCACCATGTTGCAACCATCACATCGCGGCCGCAATCTGCCGCCATTCGGTGAACAAATAAAAAGCATCACATACATCTCGACTTGATCTGATGGACTGAGATCAATCCGGAGCCACGTTGGATTCATTTAACGTAACAGTTCGAGAAGCTATCAAACGGGACCGTTGGGGACAGGCCTCGAATTGAGTTTCCGTCAAATTGATCAGAATAACATGATGGGGCTCGAAAGAATACGCCGGAACCGAATCGCGTACAACAAAACGGATGTTGAAGATGCCGATTGCCGATGACATTTCTAGCAAAACTTAAATGCTTAACATTAGTCAGATAAGGTCGGCGGGGTTCGGCTTCATTCATCTACGATTGATAGCCTCTATGTGTGCATGGAAGTCAGCCTGATATCTCCCGACGGGGTCGAGACGTGTTTGATAGAGTACCATCACCGACATAGTCTATAGGCGATCAGAAGCGCTGGAAGGGAACCACATTGTCGGTTGTCCTATGCAACCCCGATTTGTCCTCAGCTCAAGGTTGCTCCAACTGCTCGACAACACTGTATGTTAGATGAGCGAGTGTAGCCACAGTGAAAATGAGCTTGGGGACGGGATTCAAACGGATTTCGGCTGATTGGAAGCCTTGATGGTTTCTATCCTGCACCCTTGTGTGGCATTCATTAGTGTTTGCTACATGCTTCGTGCCTATAAACAACTGATAGAGCATATGCCGATCCGTGCCACCTAGGATAACAGTTTGTACGCTCCAATCGGCTCCCTGCTACAAAGTGAGGACGGGCCGTGAATCTGAACAGGGACCAGACAGTACTAAGATCAATATGAGATGGGTATAATACCTTGGAATGTGCCGTTCTTAGCTGCTCTTATCCTAGCTCTTGATCTGCGAGATCAGATGTCAGTATACCGACCTGAGGCGTACACTCAAATAACACACGACTGTTTATATTGAACTTTGCTCGACTTGAGACTTCCGTCTATATTCTTCCCTGAGAAGCGTCACACAGTTGTAAGACCGGAATACACATCGCCATCATGTTGGCCGCTACACAGTTGCAGCCTCCTCCTTCTTCAGCTTCTTCAACAACGGCCAATACAACCGATATCGAGTCACAGCAGATAAATGCCAAGACCTCACACTTCAATCTCATTCTTGACCAAGTCGGCCTTACTGACGCTGTTCTTAACTACGACTACACTGGTCATGGAACATCAGACTCACCATATCTTGTTGAGTTCCTCCCGAACGACAGTCGAAATGCATTGAACTTCTCACGATCGAAGAAGTGGCTTATTACGATCTTGCAGGCCATAGCAACATTGGCCGTTACCTTCACCAGTACGGCATACTCTGGCGGCCTTTCATCCATCTTGATACACTTCCATGTCTCAACTGAAGTTGCCATACTTGGCGTTTCTATGTTCGTGCTTGGATTCGCTGTAGGCCCTCTGCTATGGGCACCCCTATCTGGTTAGACTACCCAAACCCAGGGAGCCCGTTGCTAAGGCAAAGAAGGTCTTCTTGGTATGTGACTGACTAACAGATATTTCAGAGCTCTATGGTCGACAGATTCCATTCTTTGTCTCTTTCATGGCCTTGACCGCGTTCAATGCAGGTGCCGCAGGTGCTCCTACCATGGCGGCCTTGATCGTACTTCGTTTCTTTGCTGGTTCTTTTGGATCATCGCCATTGTCCAACGCGGGCGGTGTTATTGCTGACATGTTTGAAGCTCGAGATCGAGGGCTCGCTACAGCTCTCTTTGCCATGGCCCCTTTCCTGGGCCCTACCCTTGGTAGGCCACCCCCTACACAGAGTTCGACACTCTTGATATCGCGAAGAAGACGCTGAGTATTCCACAACAGGCCCCATTGCTGGCGGTTTTCTCGGTGAGAGCGAAGGCTGGCGCTGGGTGATGGGGATGACCTCAATTTTCACCGGTGTGGTGTGGATTGTTAACTCACTGGTGATACCTGAGACCTATGGCCCCTATCTCTTGCGTCGCCGAGCAGCTGTCCTTTCTAAAAGGAGTGGGAAGGTTTATATCTCCAAGACGGATGTTGGTCGTCCTCGCACTACTATTGTCACACAGTTCAAGACTGCGATACTTCGTCCCTGGGTCCTGCTAATCAAAGAGCCCATTGTTCTTCTAACCTCATTGTACATGGCCATCATCTACGGAACACTATACCTCTGCTTTGCTGCCTTCCCAATTGTCTTCCAGCAGGGTCGCGGATGGAGTCCAGGAATCGGAGGACTTGCTTTCACTGGCATCGCCGTGGGAATGCTATTTGCAGTTACTGGGACTATCTTGGACAATAAAAGATACGCCCGAGCTGCCGAAGCCGCCGGCGGCCATGCACCTCCTGAAGCTAGGCTGCCCCCTTCGCTGGTTGGCTCGATACTTATTCCAGCCGGCCTCTTCTGGTTTGCCTGGACCAACGGCAAAGATGTGCATTGGACTGTGTCTATCATAGGCTCAGCATTCTTCGCTTGCGGCTTAGTTTCTGTTTTTCTGTCACTTCTGAACTACCTCATAGATTCATGTAAGTTTGTTGCAGCAATCCTTCTTATATCCTACAGCTAATCCTAAAAGACGTGATATTTAGTGCCTCAGTCCTGGCTTCCAACTCAGTCCTGCGTTCCCTCTTTGGCGCAGCCTTTCCCCTCTTCACGACATACATGTACAAAAACCTGGGCATCCATTGGGCCAGTTCTGTGCCTGCCTTCCTGGCTGTTGCTTGTATCCCATTCCCGTTCTTGTTCTACAAATACGGGGAAACTATCCGTATGAAGTGCGAGTACGCTGCAGAGGCTGCCAACGTCCTTCAAAAGATGCGTACCAAGCATGAGGTGATCACGGAGGATCAGGCCGCCGAGGAGATTCACGAGGCCGAGTTGGAGCGACGGTCGAGCAATGCTCTTCGCCGTAGCTTGACAAAGACTCGCACAAGCAAGTCTATTCAATGAGGCACTCACCAGTGTTCCTCGTCTCCCTTTCTCAAATGTGTGATACAAATTAAGCACATACGGAAGTTTCACGGGGTAGGATCTGGGCCTCAGCACCGACCTTTAGAGAGCAGCATCAAGGTTGGTAAGATTTGAATTTCTCTATCCGTAGTGGGTGTTGGCATAGATGTGGGTTTGGTTCCAATGTAGTCGATACAGGAGCAAAAAGTCTTGTCTGGCCCAATTGCACGATGAGGTCAAATGCATTCTAGTAGTAGCACAGAGCAGGAACAACGGTAAAAACGCTATTGAATTAAACCCCGTACCTTAGGTTACCATGGCTGGGTTCTGTTCAAACCAAGATCTGAATTGTTATGGGCCCCCTCCTCTTTCGTTGCGCCTCTGTCAGTTCTGTTTGATTCGTGTTTTCTCTTCAAACATAATTCGGATAATTAGATCGACCAGTATGCGACCAGCGTAGTAAGACCTGGGCAAGCCATTGTTGAGCAGATCTTCTTCTTTGAACACCTGGGCATCTCAGGGTGGCACGCCGGTTTCCACGTCCGGGCCATTCCCTCAACACGTGGCTCAATGACCAAGATCACCTCATGATCCTCATAATACAGTCCCACGACAAGTTTGATGCGGCATACCGAGTTGACCATGGTCTTCACCATCTGCAGGATATTGATCGTGCAAATCCCTGTTGTCACGCCTAGGGGAGGAAAGAAAACCCAGGACCTTGATCCTAAATGACAAAAAGACTTAAATTTGCTTAAAATTAGGATATCTTTATTATTTAAGTTTAGGGCACCTTTAATAAGCTTAGTATACATTTTGCTGAGTTTATTTTGACATCCTATATCAAGGTCTGGTGTTTTCATGCTCCCTGAGGCACGCCTATCTCAAACGCTATGATCCTTCCACTGGCGTAGTGCATATCTTGCCTTACAGTAACACCCCTGGGTGCATTAAGAGTTGGTACCTTGCATGAGCGTTGTTTAGCGCCACACCTCCGGCGCTGGACCCTGCAAGTTGCACCACTAAGATTTAATGTCCGAAACTTAGAAAGCTCAATTTTCAAAGGCGTAAAACACCAACATATAAATTCGTGATATTTATACTGAGCTGAGAATGTATGGTATGCTCATTCTTCAAAGCGAATAATTCCCTTGACTAAGGCGAAATTTAATAGATGTCCTGTACTGCCCGTTATAATAAATTCGGTAGAGTGCACCTACCGGCTTTCGCTCTTGCCAAAACGTTCTGCTGGTGCCTGAAAATATTGCCTCATGGATGCCTGGAATAATCACGTGCACTGACGTATTACCCCGCTCCTCAGCTTCATTTCTTCTGAATCAAAACATCCATCGGCATCCCATCGAAAAAGCGACGTCGCTATGAACGCTTGGCCGCCACAAGCCAGTCATTATTCCTGTTGTCAAAAGCACCTATCGAAATCACACGTTCAAGTCGACAAAGCACCTATCGAAATCACACGTTCAAGTCGATAAAGCACTTATCGAAATCAAACATTTATCGACAAAGCATCCATCGGCATCACATATTCCTATCATCAAAACACCTATCGAAATCACACATTCAAGCCAACAAAGCACCTATCGAATTCACACGTTCAAGTCGACAATGACCGTAAGAAGCTTGCTGCAGACTTGAGAGCTATATGCTAACATACATATATAGAACCAGTACAATCCTATCAAGGTCGGTGGTGGTG